TCCGGCCACGCCCGCCGCAGGAACATCCCACCCTGGCCTCGGCCCGCCAACGAGCGCCACGAGCCCACCGGGGCCGCACCGAAACGCCGCAGGGGGGGGAAACCAGCCCCAAGCAGCGATGGGCGAGCGAGGCCCTGGGAGGGGAGGCACCACCAACAGCCGACGGAACAACGGTGGTCCCCGGAGCAAAGAGCGGGGGACACCCGCCAGGCTCCCGCGGTGGGAGGCGGGGGGAAAGCCGCCTCTCACCTCGGTCAGGCCCCCTCCCACGTGGGATAAGGGAAGTGGTTGGTCAAGGGGGTCGCAGCTGATCGCCGCTCAGGTCAGTGAATGTTGGGTGGGTCCTTACAGGTTGGTAATGGGGGTCGCAGCTGATCGCCGCTAGAGTCGATATTGCCAAAACTGCGACCTGGACAGGTCGACCCGCTGGCGCGCGGGGGGGGGTGTTCCCTCGGCCGACCTCCCGCCACCAGCGGGTGGGTGGCTGTCGTCGTTGGACAGCAAAGTGGGTGAGCCCGGGACCTGTCTGCCCTGCGGGCGGGCCCCGTCGAGCCAGGGGGGTGAGAAGTCGGGTGCAGGGGGGGGGCTCCCCCCGCGCTGGGCCCGAAAAGGAGGGCAAGTCCACTTGTCCAGTGTGGGCTGTCTAGCTATGCTGCGCCGTGGGTGAGATGCGGGGAAACCTGCGCCCCAGCGGAGGTTGCCCCAAGGTATTACGGCCTGAGCCAGGCGCGGCGAGGGGAAACTGACCCTTTAGGGGCAAGAAAAGCCGGTAGGGGGGGAAAAGTCCCGTTGGCCAGGAGCGCCGGTGGTGCTGAGGCTGGTATCCCGACCCGGTCAGCCCTTGGTGTAGGAGTCGTCCCTTGCCCACCAGCGGGCGCGCTTGTCTGCGTACCGGTCATCCCCCCTCGGGGAATACCTTTTGCCCTTTCCCTTCCAATCTGTGTCCGTCCATGGGGCCTCGTGCCGATCCCACGAGGACCATTCCTGCCAGCCTTGCCACTGGCTGGGGGTGGCTGTGCCGATGGCTCCGGCCCAGCGGTCCTGTGTAGCTGCGGGAGCGGCTGCTCTGCCCTCGGCTGTCCATGGGGCGGGCCTGCTGTTGCTGTCGTAGTCGCGCGGAGCGTGTGCCCGGGAATCGTGGCGCATGATTTTCAAGCGTTTGCCCCTGATTGTTGTCCAGTTGACGTTGAGCCTGAGCTCGCTGTCCATCTTGTAAGCATCGTGCCCTGCGTCGCCCCAAGCCTCGGGGAATTCCGCGCACGTCTGGACTGAGTTCAGTTTGGGGTTGCTCTTGTGGCCTCCCATGGGCTCCTGTCTCAGGGCAGCACGCTTGACCAATGCGCCCCATATGCCATTGAACGCTCCTCCCAGCGTCTTTTGTAGGCGTATAATATTGTCCTGCACTGGCTCGTCCCTTTCCACGTCTGCAGTTGCTATGGTACACATGTACACGGGAACGCCTCTTATGGGGTCGTTCGGATCTTCGCGGCGTGGCTGTGCGATCCTGACGTCTCTCCAGGGCGTTTCGTGGATCTCCGTGCGCGTGGGGTTGCCCCTTGGTGATTTGGCGGCACGTCCTTCCCTCCTTGGTGTCTTCTGACGCAGGTCGGTGGCGTCCCTTGTCTCCTGCCGCGAGGCTGAGTGTGCGGTCGTCCCTAGCACCCGTGATGTCCCAGGCTGAGCTGCTTGCCTGGGCGGAGCTGTCTCTCGCACTCCGAACCTCCCGGGTGGCAGCTCGGTCGACGGTCTTCGAGTACGGGTCCAGGCGCTGCTCCTTGGGGATATTTTTTTATCTGCGGCTCCAAGGACGATTCCAGAGAGCGCGTCGAAACAAGCTTGGGGCAGCAAGCAAGATAATTGCCAGCGGGTCAAAAGCCAACGCCGGAATGCACATGCGAGGAACAAAATGAACCTCATTAAGCCGTTCCAAAACGGCAGCCAACGACTGACAGCGGGGCGTCGCGCAGTGGCGCCAGCACCCCGCAGACCGGACGGCGAGGGGCAGGGCACAGCGGGCAGCTGCAACCCTGGCACGCCCGCCCGTGAAAGTGCAACGAAGGCGAGCAGAATGGGGGCAAGGCCTCACTCACGGAGCACCTCATGTGCTCGAAGATGGCATCACAGAACGAGGCACCAGCGGACTAGACGCGAAGTCGAATAGAAACACCGATGCACAAGGAGGGAACGGCACGTGGGCCACCACGTTATCACCAGCCGTCGGCTGTGCACTGCCGGTGGGCGAAAGACGGGGCGCCAGACCGGTGAGCACGTCCCTGCCAGACTGCGCCCCAAGTGCAGGAGGCTGGTGTGGGCCGACCTGCCAGTGCCACGATAAGCGCACCTTATTGCGTGATGTAGCCAAGGGAAGGCGCCTGCCTGGCGGGGGGGAAACGCCACAGGGCAAGGCCACCAGTCGTCGGATGTGCGTCGTGTGGAGCGTATTGGGCGGGCCTTAGGCCGGCGGCCCCAGCCATCCAAAGTGAGTGCCCAAGCGGGCGAGACGGGCCCATGTTCGTGTGAACAAGGCCAAAGTGAACCGCGGGCAGGAATAGTGGCAGCCAATACCACACGGACTAAGAACCCACGATGCACCGTGGGAGTCTAGACGCAGTGTCGTGAGAGGTGCACCTCACCCCCAGGAGGTGACATGAGGGTATTAAGGTCAAGGCCTGTCACTGCGGTGAAACGAGTCCCTGTCGTGAAGGAGCCACCCCGTCGGCAGTGGCCCGCGGGGGCGGCTGTCTGTGTTGATCGCACCCTATAGCGTGAGAACGAACACGTCGAACGGCCCGCCACAGCAGTCGTCGTGAAGGAAGAGGGGGGGCGGCGCAGCCGATAGCCGCAAGTCAGTTGAATATCCTTGGGGATATGTTTTTTTTTTATCTGCGGCCCGCAAGGAAGAGTCCAGAAGGCGTGTCAATCAGGCTGACTGGGGCACTGAGCCAGATAATTCGTGCAACATGCAGAACAAAATGGGGAAAACGGGCGGACGGGCAGCCGCGCGTGGCGACGTTGCGCCAGCACTGGGAGGCCAGGCGCCGAGCAGGGCGACGGAAGGACGGAGGGGGGGAAGCGCGAGGCGACGGAGGGACGAAGGAGGAAGGGGAAAAGCAGGTAGCCTCACTCACGGAGCACCAGGTGCTCGCCGGCGACCCGACTCTGGTCCAATGACAAGGACACCTCGTGACTCCTGAGGCGCAGCCGCCATCCTGAACTACGAGGATGCAAGTCGCGCAGACCACGTCACAGCACCCAGTGTCCCGCCAGGGGGGAACTGCAGGTAGGAGTGAACCACCAGACCAGCGCAGAAGGGCAGGATGTCGATGGCGACAGCGAGCGGGAATCTCCCCCAGAAGAGGACGCAACGGTCGGCAACGCCGGGGGGGATACGTCGGCCAGGAGGAGGTACGGACATGCCACGGGATGCACCACATGAACAGGAAGTCGTACACCAGGGCGACGGCGCGGAATAGCAACGGCCAAGACGTGGAAAGGCCGGGCCTGCAAGGATGCCTCTGGCCGAAAGCCCCCGCCATCCCAGGCGAGCACCGCACCAGCACGCAGTGCTGAGAGGGAAGCACCTCATCCCCAGGAGGTGACCCACAGGTATTAGGCCAGAGCCACACTGCACGTCGTCGGCACCCCTCAGCAGTCGTCGAGGGCGACAGGAGGGGAGGAGAGGAGGCGCAGCCGATAGCCGCAGAACATCCTTGGGGATACGCGAAGCGTGAAGAATTACATCGAAGCAGACGTGTGTTGCTCGGGCGCTTGTGAGTAGGCACTTTGCGAGTAGCGGAACGCGCACGGTGATACTCAACCGTAGTGTGGCTCAGCAGCAGCGCGTAACACAGATTGCAGTCGATCATGCCGGCGACTGGGCTGGATGAGACCCCCATCAAAAAGGACCTCTGGAACTGTTCCAGATGACTCTTCCTCATCCTCCTCCGCATCCTCCTCATCCTCATCTTCCTCCCCTTCCTGTTCTCCGCTGTTGCTGATTTCTGCTTGCTGGTATCTTCTGCTAGCAGATGCAGCTTGTCGTGCAGGCGGAGATGAAAGCATCGGGGCACTCCTGAAATGTTTGGGGGGCCCTAGGCCGGCGTGGGGTGACCCGGGTCCCTCTTGAGGCTTCTTGGTAATGATGGGAGATCCTGGCGAAACCTGGCTTCGGGCATCCTCGGGACACCGTACGGTCTCTGGGGGGTTCTGAGGAACCTCTTGGGCCATTCTGGGGCCGGCCGTTCTCTGGGGCACTCTCGGGCTTTTCTGGGAGAATCTTGAGGCCCTCGGGGGCTAGCGTGAAGCGCAGAGGGGTTCAGCGGGGATTCCCATAGGCCGTCTTGGAGGCCTCTTGGGTCGTCGGGGGCCGTCTTGGGGTTCTGCAGGGCCGCCTTAGAGCGCTCAGGACACACTCTGGCAGTCCTGTTGTGCTGTGGCCGCGCAGGGCCGCCTTGGAGGGTGCCAGGGCCCTCGCTCGTGCTCCAGAAGGCGCCAACCAGAAGGGCCTCAAAAGCAAGGGAAGGCGGAGCCTGATGGAGACCAATGGCTCTTACAAGCTTTGGCCGAACAGAGCCTCTCGTCAGACCCCTGGGGGCCTCTCTTTGAGTGACTCGAACGCCTTCGGTCTCTCCAGGGCCTCTCGTGGGCCGCCTGGCGCGCTGGGATGGCCGCGCTGGGCCGTCCAGGAAAACGTCTGGAGCTCCCCTGGGCACCCGCCTGGTACCCGCCTGGGGCCGCTGGGCATGCCGTTCTAAAGCTACTTGCACGCGCTGGTCCCAGCAGCGTGGCTAGAAGCAGAACCCACAAAAAAACAGTAACTTCGACGGTCCGCGCGGACTTCTTGGATCTGCGCTGGACCCCCCTCCCTGGCGCGCAGAGAGCGCCAGGGGAGGTGCTGGAGGCGCCGCCTGGGGGTCCCAGCGAGGAACCAAGAAATCCGCGCGGAGCGCGAAAAGTTTCTGTTGATTGCGTTCGTTTCTTCTTCGAGTGGCACAGTTGACATCCGGGGCTAACGTCGCCGCCCACATCTCGACGAGCAGCGACAGCGCCTGTTGCCATTGTCGGCGTTTGCCACACGCGCTGATAGCCACGACGCAGGCGCGGTGGCCGGAGCTGCCCGCAGGTGCGATTCGCTGGCCCAACGAGCCAAAGGCGTGCTAGAATCGGCAGTAAAAGGCTAAAAGCGCATCAAACGTAGCATCCCGCAGTTGCGGATAAGAGTGAGGGGCGTGGGCGCGGGGGGGATCGCCGCTGGGTCCCAGCTGGATCGCGGGGTGGGTCTCGGGGTGGGTCGCGGGGCGGGTCGCGGGTGGGTCGCGGGCGGGTCGCGGGCGGGTGGCGGGCGGGTGGCGGGCGAGGGCCACGACGGCAACAACAACAACAATCACAACAACAACCACAACCACAGCCACAACAACAACAACAACAACAACAACAACAACAACAACCACCACCACCACCACCACCACCACCACCACCACCACCACAACAACAACAACAACAAGTATTGTAAGACTGTTCGCTCTTATCTGCGTGAGTACCATTCAACTGGTGTATCCCAAGCGCTCGATACCCGCCCTCTTCGTCTTCGATCGTACCCCCTTGGGGTATGTCTTCTTACCTGCAACGTGTATTCCACGCAGCCCCAATAGCAGGGGAAGAGAGGACGGATGGAAGATAGGGGCAAGACGAGGGAGGAGCATCGAGAACGAGGGGGAGAGTAGCAGAGGGGGGGGCCTAGGAGCAGAAAGCACGTGGCAGAACCAGACGGGCAGATCGGGCGGGTTGACCCTAACAGGCGGGTCGGGAAGTCGGGCCAAGATGGCCAAGTCGAGCAGGCGGGTTGCTGAAGCGTGCAGTCTCGAGCGATACCGCGATTCCCAAGTAAATCGCGAAAATGGCCGCAGCGAGAGTGTGATTCCTGAGTGTCGACGGCGCGGCGTCTGAATAAGTTGCGAGGGAGTCCCATAAATTGTGAGGATGTCCCGCGCGAGAGCGCGATGTTGACATAAGTTGTGAGGACGTATCAGGCGGGAGCCGTTGTTGTTGTAACTCGAGGGACAGGGGCCCAATTCTGAGATCCAATACTTCCCCAATTAAAAAGCCTGGTGCGAAACCCGGGAAGGGCACTTCAATTGAAAACTATACCATGTGCCCCGGACGGGGGATCAACAGTAATAATTCTTCTGTGGCGAAAGGTCAAGAACAACAACCACAGCAATAACAACAATCATTATAAGACTGTTCGCTCTTATCTCCTCGAGTGGCATCCAATGCGTATTTCCCAAACCCTCGATAACCACCCTCTTCGTCTTCGAACGTACCCCTTTCGGGGGGTATGTATTTCTTCCCTGCAGGCCAGGCCCCGGTAAGCGGCGGGGCGGCCGCGGACCGTCGGCCTGGCCAGCGGCAGCGCTGATCGGCGGCAACCCGACCCCAAGAAGGACGGACAGGGGGCCGACCACGACAAGGACGACGACGACGACGACGACGCCGACGGCGACGACGACGACGACGACGACGACGACGAGCGAGAGCGAGAGCGAGAGCGAGAGCGAGAGCGAGAGCGAGAGCGAGAGCGAGAGCGACAGCGGGGCCACGAAGGGCAGGAAGGGGGCCACGAAGGGCAACAGCGGGGCCACGAAGGGCATGCGTATGGGGCTACGATGGGCTCGAACGAGCGGGGGGCACGAAGGGCATACGTATATTGAGCTGCAGAGGGCAAGGACGGGGCCACGAAGGGCAGCAAGGGGGCCACGAAGGGCGACAGCGGGGCCACGAAATGCATGCATATGGAACCACGACGGGCGCGAACGAACGGGGGCCACGAAGGGCATACATATATGGGGCCACGAAGGGCAACGACGGGGCCACGAAGGGTTGCAACGGGGCCACGAAGGGCAGCGACGGGGCCACGAAGGGCTGCAACGGGGCAACGAAGGGCAGCGAGGGGACCACGAAGGGCTGCAACGGGGCCACGAAAGGAAGGGAGGGCGCCACGAAGGGCTGCAACGGGGCCACGAAAGGCAGCGAGGGGGCCACGAAGGGCTGCAACGGGGCCACGAAACGAAGGGCTGCAACGGGGCCACGAAGGGCTGCAACGGAGCCACGAAGAGCTGAAGGGGCCACGAAGGGCTGCAGCGGGTCCACGAAGGGCAGCGAGGGGGCCACGAAGGGTTGCAACGGGGCCACGAAGGGCAGCGAGATCCCGATTCCTAAGTAACCTGTGGGGGAGTCCTGAGCGTGAGCGTGACTCCTGGGTGCCTGAGTACCGGGAGCGCGGCGCTTGAGCAAAAGAGCGAGATTCTGGAGCAAATTGCATGCAAGTCTCCAGCGAGAGCGCGACTCCAGAGCTCCGAGAGAAAGATTTCGGAATAAATTGTAAGGAAGTGAGAGCGCGACTCCTGAGTAAAATGCGAGAAGTCTCAAGCGGGAGCGGGGGTCCTGGCTAAATTGCAACGAAATCTCAAGCGGGAGCCGTTGTTGTTGTTGTAATCCGGGGGCCAGGGCGCAGTTTGAGCCTAGCGACTTTCCCTGTTAAAAAAAACCGGGTGCGAGCCCCGAGGGAAACACTTGAATTGAAAAAACAAAATGTTCACCGGAGGGGGGGATCGAGAATTCAACAGCAGCAGCAACGACAGCAACAACAACAATGAATTCAATGCTGTTCGCTCTTATGCGCGCACGTGTCAACCAATCTGTGTTTCCCAAACAATGGATATCCGCTTTTTTGTCTTCGATCGTACCCCCATTAGAGCCGATATCTTTCTTCCCTGCCACGTGTGAATGTCGCAGTCTTGAAAGAAGGGGCCCACTGAGGACTGCAAAGGGGCCAGGAAGGGCAGCGAGAGGGCAACGAAGAGCTACATCAGACCTACGAAGGTCGACGAGGGGGCTACGAAAGGCGACCGCGGGGCCACCAACGGCATCGAGGGGCTCAAAAGGTGGGGCCACGAAAGGCATCGAGGAGGCCACGAAGGCAGCGGCGGGGCCTTCAAATCCGAGTGTGGTATCGCGAGGGGCAGTGAAGGGCATCGGAACGGGCGAAAAGCAGCGAGGGGCGACTGCGGGCCTTACCAGGCGGGTCATTCGGGCGGACCCTGACTGGCGGGTCGAGCGGGCGGATCGCGAACGCGTGTCTTGCAGAATTCGCCGGGAAATCTCGGGCGAGAGCGCGATTCCAAAGTAAATTACAAGGAAGACCAAAGGGAGAACGCAATTCCTGAATGGCGAAAGCGCTGCGCCTCGGTAGATTGCAAGGGAGTCTCAGGCGAGAGCGCGAGTTCTGAGTAAACGGCGAAGAACTTACACGCGGCAGCGGAGGGGGCAAATAACTTCCGACGAAATATCAAGCTGGAGCCGTTGTTGTTCGAAACCGGGGGCCAGGGACCCAATTTGAGCCTCACGACTTTCCCTGATCAAAAAGGGCGCGAGCTTCAGAAGGGCACTTCAGTTGACACGTATATCCTAAACCCTCGGTGGCGCCCTTTTCGCCTTCGATCGTACCCCCTTGAGGGTAGATTTTCCTTACCTGCCGCGTGTAGCGGAGCAGCCCCTGAAACAAGGGAAGAGGACAGATGGAAGGGGTAGGGAGCACGGAATTAGCAGGAGGGATGCTAGGAGCAGAAAACACGTGGCAGAACCAGACGGGCCCATCGGGCTGGTAGACCCTAACGGGCGGGACGGGAAGGCGGGCCCAGACGGCCAGGTCGAGAAGGCGTGTTGTTGAAGCGTGCTGCATGAATCGCGAGGAGGGCTTGAGCGATAGTGTGGTTCTCAAGTAAATCGTGATACAGGCCGCAGCGAGAACGTGATTCGTGAGTGTGGAAGGCGCGGCGTCTGAATAAGCTGCGGGGAAATCACACGCGAGAGCGCGATTCCTGCATACAGCATAAGGAAGTCCCGCGCGAGAGCGCGGGTTTAAAATTATCTGTGGGGATGCATCAAGCGGGAACCGTCGTTGTTGTAGCTCGGTACCCAACAACGCAGCTTGGTGACCCCAAGCTGTCCTTGATACTTTAACCAGGAGCGAGCCCCGAAAGTGGGCAGTTCGAATTAGATAATACAATGGTTATTATAACAGCCTCAACAACAACCGCAAAAAATAGCAGCAGCAGCAACAACAGCAACAATAGTTCTAAGACTGTTCGCTCTTACTTGCCCGTGTGTCATTCAAAACGAGATCCCCACACCCTCGATACCCGCCCTTTTCATCTTCGATCACACCCCCTTTGGGGGATTATTTCTCTTTGCGGGGGGCGGCGGGCGTAGACAGGCGGGCAAACCTGAACAGGCGGACAATCCTTCGTGGGCGCACATGTGCCCGCGATTGGAGTTGGTGTCGGCCCTGCAAAACCAGGAGTGGGAGAGCGAGGGAAAGTGGGAGGAAGGGAGGGGGAGGGACGAAGGAAGAGGGAAAACGCTAGGAGAGAAGGAGCGAAAAGGGGGGCGGTTGATTAGAGGCAGAGAGAGAAAGAGAAAGCCGGATAAGAGAGGTAGAGAAAGAGAGAGAGAGAGGGGGGAGAGAGAGAGAGAGAGAGATAGAGAGAAAAAAAAAATGGAGGGAGGAGGTAGGAAAGGGGAGGGAGAAGGGAGGAGGGAGAGGAGGGAGAGGGGAAAGGGCAGAGAGGCATAAGGATGAGGGAAGAGAGGAGGGAGAGAGAAGGGAGGAGAGGAGGGAGGAGGGAGGAGGAGGGAGAGGGAGGAGGAGCAGGAAGGTAAGAGCGTGAACGTTCGAGGAAGTCCTGGGCGAAAGCGCCGTTCCTGAAGGAAGTCTCGGGAGCCCACGACGGGCGGGCGATCCCCTGACGGGCGGGTGGGGCGGGTGGGACATTCAAGCGCGAAGAAGTCTCAAGCGGGAGCGCCGTTCCTGAGTAAATTGTGAAGAAGTCTCAGATGGGAGCGGGGGCCCTGACTAAATTGCAAGGAAGGCACACGCGGGAGCACCGATCCTGAGTAAATTGTGAGGAAGTCTCAGGCGGGAGCGGGGGTCCTGAGTAAACCTGGAAGAAATCTCAAGCGGGAGCCG